TATCACCTTTTCCTTTTCCAATAAAAGTTTGAAGGAGCTAGCCTACCAGCCACAGCATCTGAGTGTGTAGCCATTGCCATAGTCTCCTGTTCCAGTCAATTTGAACGAACCCCAGTCAGAAATAATTCAATGATGTTTTGAGCAATTAAGCCAAACAACATACATATTAAAAGAAATATACAGCAAGTTTTGAAGTAAAAACAAAACATTCAACTGATTCAACTTAAAATCAGCCTTATATCACCCCTAAACAAAATAATTTGCCAAGCCTCTGAGATAATTTCTGGACTGTGTAAAGACAATACGTCTCCTGTGACCACACACCATCACAGCCGGTCTTTTAGCCGGTTGATAGGGGTAATGAGGTGACGGTTGATGGCGGCCTGTAAAGTTGTAATGAGGACGGCGGTGTGAATAGGACAGAGGGCTGGAATGGGTGGGAGAGAACACGATGCTTAATGAGCGGGCCGGCGGGCTCAGCAGTAACCCTGTTGTATCGGCTCGGTCTGAGAAAGAAGGGGTGACAGAGGGGATCGGGAATTTCAGGGTGGGACAGCACAGGAGGGCCTGATGTTATTTAGGGAGGGAATGAATAAAAGCTGGGTTAGAAAGTAAATGGGGGTCCTGACCAGCCCCTGTGCTCTGCTCATTGTGGAGATGAAATTTATGGCTCAGGACTTCCTAAGCCAAGGACTCCCCACGTTGACTGGTTAAGTGCTATGAAACAGCGCGACAAAGGCTGGAGGCAAACAACACTCTGAGATGAGAGGCTGTAGGAGAGGGAACAGTGGAGGATGATGTGTATGTGATCCACATTAGAGACACATGTTGGAGAGTAAAGTGACTGTTGGGATACACAACATGCTTTAGCCGAAATCCAAATGCATACATAAAGATATCAGCAGTGCATTTTAAAAGTCAAATGTGTATGTGAATGTAAATTCATCCACTGTTAGGGCAAAGCTCCACTCCTGCTGGTTCTGTATAGCTAATGCTTTACTGAATGGTATGAAATCTGCACATGCAAGGAATTATATCTGACAAGAAAATACTCCTGCAACGCATAAATTCTTTAACTGTTTCAGACTTTGTGAGTAAAAAAGTATATGTACAGTAAGGAGTAATGTACAGCAAGCGGGTCATTATTGCAAAATAAACCCTGACAGGGTGATGCAGGAAAGGTCTGTTGTTCATAGCGGTGGCCTACTATTCAAAAATAACAGAGCGTAGAATTCTGTTATTCATCAATCAGAATCAAGTATTCAACAAAGCCACATTATAAACAAAAATTGCAAATGAGAACATTTAAACCTTTTTTTCTACAGTATACAACAATACAGTTGTCATGCAACTAAAATACATGGTTATGGTTAGACATAGGTTTTACTTATGATTAATTAAAAGGTCAATTTTAATATTCAACATGAATATAATATGTACAATAAGTAATAATAATAAACTATCCAACAAAATACAACTTTTGGCCCCAAGAATTACATGTAAAAGTGCTTTAATGATCTGGTGCGTCTATCAGCTGGACGACATTGTTTGTCAGTGCCTTCCAAAATCAACACTAATTACTGATTGGGAAAAAAAAATCTGTTTTATGATGTCACATTGCTATGGTTCATTTTGGTTAGGTTCAGGCACAAACATGATTTTAGAAAAACATCTTGGTTTTGGTTACACACATGAAATCATTTAGGTTAGGGGACTTTGTCATCATGATTTACTTTTTATTACTTTACATAGTTTTGGTGAATCTTATCTGGGTATTATTTATACTCTCTTGTGTCCCATTTGAAACTTTTCTTTAGAAGTGCAATGATTAATCAATTAGTTGACAACTATCAAATTAATCGGACACTATTTTCTCTGAATATTTTCGAGTGTCTTTACTCATTAAACAGAATGTCTTTGAGTTGTGTACAAAACAAGACATCTGAGGACATCAATTTGGGCTTTGGGTGACACTGATCGCCTTTCTGACGTTTTATGGAGCAAACAACTAATCGATTAATCACATTAATGTTCTTATGCTGCCCTGTTGGCCAGGACTCTAAGCAGATTTCAATCTCACTCAGACATTTTTTATCTGGTTAAACAGAGGGGAAAGTAACATTCCTAGAAAACAATGGCACATTTTGGATGTGCTATGCCTTTAACGAAGAAGCATTCAGTGCTTAGTCTGCTTTTCTGGTCGTTGTCCACAGGGAACGGTGTGTGTGTGTGTGTGTGTGTGTGTGTGTGTATTGTCTTACAAGCTCTCCTCGCTCCATTGAACAACAGTGATGAAATGGAGATGAGTTAAAGTGCTAACACAAAGACTGACCAGACCCCTGCGTCTCTGCAACAATGAAACCACCAAACACGAGAAAGTGAGAGCCTCTTGGAGAAACAGAGAGAATGAGCAGAGAATGAGAGGGGGGAGAAATTAAGGAGCAAAACTTTAAAAAAAAAAAAAGAAAAAGAAGAAGGGCTGAACCATCCTGAGAGCAGGAGGAAATGGACGGTAGGAAAAAGGTGGCAGAATAGAGAGCAACCCGGAGAAAATAGCAAGGTAGCTAATCCCTCCAGAGATAAAGCAGCTATATGTAAATGAAAGACGTGAAGTTTGGCCATCTTACTTTGATCTATGAATCAGGCCCTCCCTCTCTCCCCCTCCTCTCCTCCTTCACTCTCACCCTCTTCTCCTTCCTCCTTTTTCCTTGTAAGAAAATCAAGCCTTATTTAGCTTAATCTCACTTAATGGCATCCAGCTCCTCTTTTGTCCTCCCTGTTCCTAATAGATTCCCGTCCTTTCACTCGCCACTATTCACATATCTACCCTCCATAATCCTCTTATTCCAGGGTAGCAATTATTTTGAGTATTTTATCAGCATTATGATTATGATTATTTTCATTATTATTATTCATGCAGGCCGTTCTAAGGGCCAGGTTGTGGCTGAGAATATCCTCCCTTCTACTAGCGCCTCTTATTCTCACTCAGAATGAGGCTGCCTGCTTTCTTCCAGAGGGGTGGCAAGTTTGCAGGAGTGAACCCCATTCAGCGAGACACATTTTCTGGGCGTTTGAACATATTGTGGAGTGAGTGTAATGAGTAGCACCAAATCACCAATCCCGGCTCCTTAACAAGGAAAAACATCAAGAATTTGAAGATGGAGGAGAGAGAGGGGGCTAATAATCAAAAGGCCTCCTTTCTGCGGAGCAGTAATTACACGGGTGGGTTTTGATCTTTTGCTTGTTGGGGCTATGAATAGGGGGAGAGATGAGGACTGTTTCACTATTTTCGGGTGGCGTGGAGGGTGGAAGGAGCTTTTCAGCTCAGCATCTTGTCAGCAGCAGCAGTGAAGACCCAATTGACGTGGTGCAGCACGAGGAGAAGTTTGCCTCCATTCATTTTCTATAAGTGAATCACTTCTCAAGGTATTGTGGGAAAGCAGGCAATGCAGTACTGACCTTGAAAATGATGGCAAATAGTGTAAAAAACTGGCAATTGGCAATCATTTTTCTAATCTGCAAAGAAAATGCCTTTAAGGGGGAATTTAATGCTATCAGGATTAGGATTTTATTAATTTAATGATAAAATTTTGACTGGCAAGTCCGAGAAGAAGTTGCCTATGAACATAATCCAGGAAGCAATTCATATTATTCTCATGAGAAAAAAAGAGATTTGGAAAATAATTTAGTAGTATATAAACATAATTTCTGGAAGACAGGGTTGGTGGGGAAGATCATAATTGTAGTTCTGGGATTCCTCTTGATGCTTTCTATCACAATTAAGTAAAAACAAGGCACTTATGACAATAATGAATGGTTGATGGAACTGATTTCTATTTACACAATGACATACATATGTGGAACAGAGAAAGGAGGACACATATGTTGCACACAGCTGTATTTTGAAGAACACAGACACTCTTCTCCCATGTTTCAATTTCTTACTATGAAATGAAAACTATAAAATAAAGTAAAAAAACAAAAGGTTTTCCTAAAGATTTAATAGGGTTTTTTTTGTCTTCTGGTAAATCTCTGGTTCTGTTTCACCCCATTCTACCATTTTCTTTTCATTTTCTCTTTCATTTCCTTTAAAAAACAGTTCAAATGACACTCATAATCAAGCATTTTAGTATGTATCCTAATTTAGTATTTCATTTAGTCACTTTTCCAGAGTGAAGAAATTATTTTGCCCTTAGTTATCCAGGCATGTATTGCTGAGAGCCGTCTGATCATACTCACCTGAAAGCAGTTGGGGGTTCAGGGCCTTGCTCAAGGGCCCCTCAGCGGAGGTAAAAAAAAAGGATGGACAAGTGCTCCTCTTTTACTTTCCCCTCTCATATTATATCGCTGGTACAAACATCAAACCAGTAACCTGACAATACTGCTTCTCTGAACTTCACACCACCAGTGCTGCAAGAAGGAGACTCCGTTTGGTATAAAATTGAAATTTGTCTTAACACACCTGCATGCTCTCTACTGCTCCCTTACACACACACACACACACACACACACAATCTTTAATATAAAATACTGAATATTAGATAAGCAACAATTAAAGTAAAAGTTAGGGAAAAAACAGGAAACAAGCACACAATCAAAGAACTGTCACTCTTTTGCTAAATTGTAATTAGTGCTTGGAAATACATGACATCACCATTTTATGACACAACCCTGCACACTTCAAACCAGTGAGAAGTGCACAGACACAAACACAAAAATGTCTCATTATTAACTACTTTGGCAGCTAATAATGAGTTCAGTAGGACATAGTAAGAAACTGAGAATAGGTTTTTAGAGGTTTTAAATATTGTAATTTTTAATTCATAGGAGTCCTTGATTTGGTATCTTTCACACAACAAGCAGCACAACAATCAAACACTGCAATCAAACGCACCACGCACACAGCCATTACACCTCACACTTTCTTCAAGAATCATCAAAGTTTTTTCTCTGTTTGTGACATATGCAACTTATTTCTGAAACATAAAGGAGATTATTAGATTTACTTCATTACCAACTACAGCATAGATCCATTGTGTTTAAGAAGATCAAAGAATAATCGTGAGTAATTGCAGTAAATTATTATAAACATGTTAAAAATGTTAAATAGCAATTCATATAAAAACCATGTTGCATACATGTAACAGTCATCAAGTCCGTTCTTGGGAAATCCTCTTCAACTTTAAGGTGTCACTTTGGGAATCTTGGAGCCGGTGTGGAGTGGCTAAATCTGGGCAGTCTGCAGACTCCACAGGGGCACAGGGGCCCACCTGAGGCCCCTGCAGAGCTCCACTGCACAGGGGCCAGCGAGGCCTCCATGGGGCCCGGCGACAACAGCGGACATTTAGCAGCAGAGGACGATGAAGTGGAGGAAGAGGAGGAGGATGCTGCTGAGTTGAGGAGGGACTCCTGGGTGAGGAGGAGCTGACTGGGGCCAGAGATGAGGGGCCACCCCCCAGTGAGCAGTAGCCGGGGGACCGGTCCTGTGTTCACCCCCATGCCCACGCTTACCTCCCCCAACAGCCGCCGCATCTCCTGCAGAGATGAACCCAGCAGGAGGATGTAGTTCCTGGCCAGAACCAGGGTGGAGATCTTTGAGAGCCGGCGACCTGGTGGAGCTCCAGGCTGGTGAGACTGAGAGGAGGAAGCAGAAGATGGCGAGGAAGCGTAAGGCACCATGACCTCCCTGAGGGCATCCATGGCAATGTTCAAGTCCTGCATCCGCTTCCTCTCCCTGCTATTGATCTTCCTCCTGAGCTCCTGCTGTTCCTCAGGGCTCAGCTCCCTCTGAGGTTTGGTGGATCTTTGGCCACTCTGGAGGCCAAGCATGGGTGGAGGATTTAGGCGAGAGCTCAGGTTGAACCCTGGAGGGCAGTGGGGTAAATCCTGGACAGACCCGGGTCCACAGAGAGCTAGAGACTGCTCCTGGGCCCTGATCACTGGGTTTGACAGCACATTCATAGTCTCTTAAGAGGTGTGCCAGTCTTCTGATTTGCAGTTCGGCGTCGTCTTCCTAAAAATGTATTTAGCAAAAGGTAAAGCTTGAGAGACAAACCAAAAATAGTCAAGGAAAAAATACACTTCTGTTTTTAAAAGAAAATCCACAAACTGCAAAAATCAAATCTTCATTGCCTCCACCTGTTGATCCCCCCTTTGCACGCAGAATACAGCTGCCATCCAGCACAATGACAAGTCTCCAAAGGCTTTTACTTTGGGGCTTCAGAGGGTTCTGGCTGCACCAGTGAGTGAGAGCTTCCTAAAGTGGCCGCTCAGTTTTATCTCATTTCCACAGCTGCGTGAGACAAGAATGACAGCACACACAGTGGAAAAGTGAGCTAAATGCTCCCCTCACATACCCCCACCTCAGCTCAACTCCTCCCAGACACATGATGTGCTCTTTAGAAATACACATATGCACGTCTGATCTTTTTCATATTGGACAGTTAAATAAGAAACAACTGGTAGAAGGTGGCAAAACCAGCAAAATCCCATTGAAAATTGTGACAATTTAAAGCGAGGTATTAGAAGAAAAAAATCTTATTGAGATCAGGATCTCTATTTGAGGAGTAAGACTATAGAGCATGAAAGCATTAGACATAAAAGCACAATTCAAACATTCTATTAAGAATTGACAACTAACTCTATAGTAATCTTTTATTTTGTAATTTTGTATTATTCCATGTGTAAAGAGCATCAGCATTAAAACTGGTCTTACCAAGCTCAGATTGAACATTTGCACAACTAAAGATAAAAACTCCCATGAGCTGACGTTTACGGTGTTTTTGATATGATGAGACAAAGAGACAGTTTTTCAAGCAGAGAAGAGGATGATCCTTTTTCTCCAGGCTGTACTGGAACCTCTATATTGTTCTTTATGCCATGGCTATCTTTGCCAGGACACTGCTGTAAAAGAGAATTTAAATTAAAGTGAAAGTATTGTACAGTAGTGTATATGGGTTACAGAGACAAACAAGCAGAATTCAAACACACATCATATCCTATACAATTGGCATTGAGGTCAAAATACTCCAAGTTACATTTGGAAGATCTCACCAAAATGTTTTGTTATACAAATGAATTTTTAATTTCTCTCTGTTGTTTGGTTTGTAAGTAGCACCGAATTTATAATTCAGTTTACTATGGTCAAATGTGGATAATCTGAAGTTAAAAATTACCTGATATTTGCTGGTTTGTACATAATGATCCTTCCCCTGCAGGTTGTATTGGATAAAACATCCAGATAAATGCAACCAGGAGGACAGTCTGACAGTGTCAGTAAAACAGGTAGCATACAATGGTGAATAAAGGTTAACAAGGACATTGCCATTGCTCTGACAAATGTTTTTTTATTTGCAAGATAACTTTTACTGTGACGTCCTTTTCTAAAATTGTACTTCTTTATGGTAGTGGTAATTCCACCACTTTTGTTAGAATTTGAAATATCTATTGAATAACAATCAATGTTGTACATTCATGGTCCCCAGAGGATGACTTTTAATGAATTTGATGATCTTGTGACTGTTCAACATCAGAAAATTAGCATTGTTATTGTGAGTATGTTAGCATGTTGATGTTAGCATTTAGCTCAAGGCACCGCTGTGCCTGAATGAACCACCAGTGTAACTGTAGACTCTTGTTAGTGCCTGACAACATGAGTAACATTTCTTTAACTTTTTCTTTGTGTGAAGTTAATTGAAAGCACACACAAAAAACACATCATGAGCTTAATGGAATGCACCACCACAGTCATTTAACAACTTGGAAGCCATTAAATAAATAAATAAATCATCAGTTCTTTGTTATGTGACAGAGAGCAGGTATTAGTAGTAATAGCATGGGTATTAATCGTGTCAGAGTACAGTTTTGGCAAACAGTGAATGGATACATCATTGTGTGCCTGAAGTTAATTGATGGTTTTGAGGTGGAGGTTATTGTTGCTCAGTTCTGAGCAGCTACGCTAACCAAATTGGCTGGCAGAGAGCTGGGCATGGTTCCAGACAGGCAGACAACAGGCCAATTGACTCCAACCACAGGTGAAGCTGGCTTGGGGCACCGAGCAAGGCTGGAAACCTCAAATGTGCCATTCATGAGCCACAAAAAGACCTCAGCATCACTCCGTTCACAGCACAGTGTGCCTGGCCGTCCTCTTTTTGCACTCCCCCCCTCCCCTTCCCCCTCCTTGTAAAGCCCATCTGAGCGGGAGAAAAGGAAGGCAGGGGGAAGAGGGGAAGGACAGCACCGTTACAAACAGAAAGCAAGTTGTTTACGATGAAAGCAGAAGGAGATTCAGAGGAGGAAGACCCTTTCTTTTTTCCCCAGACGCTCTTCTCTTGTCGTTCAACAAGTGAAAGATGTGTGCGGAGGCGCTTCCCTTCCCTGCCAGTGGTCCGGTGGCGTCCGGCTGGTGCTGTGATTGAAGCTGAATGGACGGCTGCAGACGGACAGGAAAGGGAGGGCCTCATGAAAAGGGCCAGGCGGATGGGCCTCGCACCTGCAGGAGAACAGAGTGCAGGCAGCCAGGATGAATGTGTGTGTGTGCGTGTGTGTGTTTGTGTGCGTGCCTGTGAGCTCAATTTGATTTCTAGTGGCTGTCGAACAATGAGAGGTAATAAACTGAGTAATGAAAGAAAACCAGCCCTGATCGTTTTGACTGTATTTTGGGATCTGGTTTCGGCATCAAGAGAGAAAAAAGGACACCTGCAAGGAGCGACACATACAGAAGTCAGAAAGGAGGAGAAAGAAAGAAGCTGGTGTCTACCAGAAAAGTGCACCTCCCCCACTTTTTTTATCCACCACTTACAAGGGAAAGAAAAGTGAGCTTGATTTGGGGCGGCAGCCCAGCATATCCGCCTCCCAGCTTCCAGGCTCCTTTTGATGAGGCTGGACCAGGGCAGGAGCACCGGTGGCTTCAGGGCAGTGGGAAGACTAGTGTCTTTATGGTGGAAGGAGTACTATCCATCTGGGCAAGGCCGTCCAATGGTGGGTCTGCACCTGGGAGCTAAATGCCTCGTCTGTGTGGAGCCATTTCCTGTGGCTGACAGACAGGAAGACACCTCAGCCAAACTCCTGGGTCAATTTATCCTCCAATACAGGATGAAAAATACACCCAAAGTGATACCACTGAAAAAAAGGTGGTTATGAATTAATTATATGATTTTTTTTTTTTTTTTTTGCCATTCCTGAAAACGACTGAAATAAACATAACAAAATGCCTTTTTAATTTGCTTTTTTCTTTTCTTCCTGGTTTGTTTGTTTATTTCTATTTATGATTTTGAAGTCGTATTGATTAGATTTTTCATTTTTTTTAATGTCAACAGAATAATTCCTGGAGTTTTTAAAAGCAGCAGATTAGTATAAACTGATTTTGTACCACATTTTACATTGACAAGTTTCCAAGTTTCCAGTAAATAAGGTTTATGGTAATAAGGTTTTGCAACTTTAATGGCCCACCGTTTAATTGTGTTAAAAAATGGGAAAAAATGAAAATGGGCTTGTTATAATTCACCAGATTCACTCTAAATAAATGCAAAAATAAAAACAATAAATTGTCGAATTACAGGGGATTTGCAGTGCACATTTCAAAATATTTACCCCAGATTATGGATTATGTTTTTCTTTTAATAATAAATATATAAATAATAGATTTTTGTGGAGAAAACACTGAATCCTAGGTTTTTACCACCAGCGCAGTACAGACGTTTCATTGTTGGCTCATCAATTGAGTACAAATTGGCATAATTATGAATCCACCTCACTGGATATAAAGAGACAGTTTTACAAATGAAGTCAAGCCACAGACTGGCTGCTGCTGGTTGGGACACAATCTTGACTTAATGGAGTCAATTTACATCAGGTGTCTGATTGAGTTCTTTTGTGTGTCACTTGATGGCGTATCGATGTGTTTGTTGTCTTATGTTGTTAATGTCTGAAGAAGTGTCCCAAAATTGGCACAATTACACAGCTATTTTCTGTGTCCTTATCGGTCACTGACTGTCTTGCTTGTTGCTCAGAAGCTCCCAAATGAAATAAAGTTATAAAAAAACATTTATCTGTTTAGCTTGCAGTTCATGGTTGGCCATTACTCTCTATGTAGTCACATTTATATATACATATATACATATATATATTCCATTCTATAAAATGTATTCTGAAAGATGATTGTAATGTTGTTTTAAGTATTTTAAGTGATTTTTAAGTACCATGATGAGTAACCACCATGATAAATGCAGGATGGACAAAAACAGTTGAATGAAGCATGCTTTGTTGGACAAGAGTTGTGCCACATGTTCATTTATAAATGCAATTTAAGCATTTTTTTATTCTTTGGTGCCTGGTCATGATAAGCGTACTTATATATCTTGTACTATATCAGCATGGTGTGCTGATATAGAAAATAATGGACTTGGTGGATGAAAGGAATGAGCTGCTATGGTCACTTCAACCTCCTTCATTATTTTCTCATCTTGTGACACCTCACTAAGGTTGAATGACAAGCCTATAAAAGTGGTGCTTAGCCGCTAATTTGACTTACTTCTTAGACTCTTATATTGGGCATGAAACCTACAGAAAATAACCCCTCAGAAACTGTAACCTGACAGAAAAAAGGCCCTAAAGGAGTGACAAGGCTGTAACTCAGCTGATGACAGCCTTCTTTAGGACATAATACATATGAAAGTGCACATACAATCTGTATGTAAACAAGACTAATAAAATGTGTAATCCTGAGATCTCAATAATGAACAGACAAAAAAGGCCAGGAAAGACTTTTGACCATTTAAGAGCCCAAGTCAAACCTTAAAGGTCCAGTGTGTAACATTTAGGATGACCTATTGGCAAACATGTAATATTAAAAATACAGATTTTTGTTCAGTTAGTTGCAATCTACAACTTCCCTGCTAGATGCCACTAAATCCTGCACACCGGTCCTTCAAAATAACATGATGTTTGCAGATTGCATCAGAGAGAAACACTGCTAATTCATTTATTGTGTGTGTCAATAATCACAATCAGACCCAGCGTGTTTGGATTAATAAACAGTATT